TCTGCTAACACACAAACCTAAAATAATGACTGAGTACAATACTCACAGCTTGAAGTTCAGCACAGCCCCTGCGTTCACCAGTAAAGTCCTGCAGAGCACAAACACGGAGAGTTTGGTTGTCAGCTCAGCAGCGTATTAGCTGCTGAGCTGGCATTAGCACCAAGCTAGTTAGCTTGTCATTTTACGCCACACACGGCTGACTGACTAACACAAAATTACACAGCGACACATAAAGACACATATAGAACTGATTATCTCAATACAAGATGTGATTCCGTGTGACATCTGCCACACGACTCGATAAATTACCCGAATATCAACAGATCCCCGATCATCTTGATCAAATCACATCAGAAGCGCCCCACTTCCGCGTTCGGCACGTAATCAGAAATGTGACCAATACAAATCCGGTATCCAGAGAAATACGAAGTGTTGTTATTCCCCGGGTTAGACTGTAAGGTGCAACCTTACCAAACACTGATCGTCTGCCAAAATTGATTTTCAATGTTTTAGTGTATTTTTATGTGTAATGTCTTATGTGTAAATAGACTTTGGTGAACAGGATTTATAAAGAGGTTATAAAGAGATTTATAAGCACTCAAGCAGTTTAAAAACGACCACGCACAGTTAGCCAATTAAAATATGTTTATAGAACTGTTGTTGTATTTGTTGAAAATTTTCTGCTGCCCTCTACCTCAGATCTCTCTTTAAAAAGACATTTTTGACGTAATTGTGACCTTTTATCTGGGCAAGTAAGAGATATATAAAAGCCACTTTGCCAAAAACTGATTGCAGCTTCTACCTTGTGACAGGTATGTGTGTTATTGTTTTTTCTGTTCCTTCCTAGTGAGATAAATAATTTCTTTGGTAGCTCTCGAACTTCGTAGGTTCTTTTGGGTGTTTTTGTTTTGGTGAAAGGAGCTTTTTTTCGCATGTCTTTGGCTCCCCTTTTTGGAGAGAGTAAGCACTACATCCATTATCGTGTGAATTTAAAGCAAATACAGAGAATAATAAATTAAAAACCATTAAAAAAAATACATACTTGAAATCTTGATTTACTTATTAGTGTTATTACGTTTACCTCGACATCTCTGCACTCCCGATGAGTGTGAACAATGTTGGGATTAATTAAAGCATCATCTGGCCGTGAGTCAGAACGGCTCCAGGATCAGATCAGGATTGTGGGTGTTTTCATGAACGAGTGAATAAATATTTGTTGATATGAAGCTTTGACGCTTTATTTTTATATATTTAAGTTCCCTCCTGCTGTGTCTCAGAGCTGCAGTAAACCCCCAGCAGCGTCTTATGGCTCGGCTGAGCGACGATCTCGATGAAGACAGCAGAGCGAGCCTTTTGTTTTTCAGCTGAAGCGCCTGAAAGGTCGCCTAAAAAAGCGGAGCAGCTGGCACTGAGCGCAGATGATGATGACGATATGCAGAGGCCGTGGAGATGAGTGGTATTAATAGGAGGGCTTGAGTGTCACAGGCTTTCACAGTCGAGACCAGGGGGGCTTTCTGTGGCGGACAGTCGGCGGAGCGGGTTTTGGGGGGTCTTCCAGACTGCGCAGTCGGAATAAAACAGAAACGCAGCTCAGACCGGCAACATGGACGTGCTGGCAGTTCTTAATTTGGGCGATATTGCCCAAGCTTTCTCCAAAATGGGAATGTTTCCTGTGTTTGATCTGGCTTACTACATCGTGTCCATCCTCTACCTCAAATATGAGCCAGGTGAGTGTGCTTGACACTTTTCTGCTTATTATTCATGTCATAAATATGTTAGAAAATAAGTCTGCGTGCTGTTTGTGCAACAGTCCACAGGCTGTTAAGTAAAATATATCCAGAATAGTACGTTTTATACACCTGTGACTGGAATTTAACCAGGAAGTAACGAATGAGGCGAGAAAGTCTATGATTTGCATGATGTGTAATTTCATTGTGAACAGAAGGCTTTATTTGTATTACATTTAGCTCACACTTTGCCTAAATACCCTTACAAGGACTTTCTCTTGCAGTTATCTGTATAGTCCTTATAAAGAATGACCTGTTACATAAACTCCAGCAGCAGCTCTGCAGCTCTGCTTTGCTTTATGTGAGGGAATGTGTGTTGCTGCAGCAGCCTGACCTCCTTTAGGAAATCACTGGAGTAGATTAAACCCCCCAGCTTTGGTTAAAGCCCATTTTTTCCATTAAGATTTAACTCCTTTGAGTAACAGAGCCCGAGGAGGATGAAACCTGAGGCCTGTGCATACCAGTGACTTAAGCAATAAATAGAAGGGCCTGAAATAGACGGTCAGTAGGACCTCCAGAGCCAACTCCCCCGCCACCTTTGCTGCACACTTGTCCCTGGGAATGTGTGCGTGTATTCTTTAAAATAACACATTCGCCTCTCCACAGAGTAAAACACGCACTGTGATATTGATATGATGGTTTGGTCTTGTTGGTAGGTTTCATCCTTGATGAAAGGAGCACAAAATGCATCTCACCCTCATAATAAGTTTAAAAAGAAGCCCGCCATGCCCATCGAGCCCATTTAAAACTGTTTGCACAGCATGATCAGAACAAACGCATCATCTCTCACATTTTCCTCAGCTGGAGGAGTCACTCGTCACATAAGCACAGCTGTAGGCCACTTGGAAGCCTGTTTTAGACTAACAACTTGGATAAAGTTAATCGATATAAATGTTTTTATCAAGTTTAGTGAAGTCAGCATGTTGTTAAAAGTCTGTTGTTGGGGGACCAAAGTTTTATATGTATGCTGTATAAGGTAGATCAGGGAATCTCCCAGCTGGCTCAGGGTCAAGATGTACTGGCCAAAAGACTGCAATGTGTGGAGTAAACGAACATACTGCAAAAACGTAAAAGGCAGCCAGAACAGAGGGACTGCAGTTTGTGTGTATTTTAAAGTTAGAAAGTACCAGCCAGCACGAATCAGGCCGACTTCAACTGTAAAGCTTGCCTTGTTTTCATGCATGCAATTTCACAGTCAAATGAGTCCTGCTGTGGCTGCCACAATATCACATTTATCCTGCACACGTCTGTGCTTAAAATTGCACCAGAACTTTGAGCTTTTTTCTTTTTTCGGTTTATGTGACAGGAGAAAGGAGAGAGAAGTGTAGGGTCAAAGGTCATGAGTGGCCTGTCAAAGTTGCATACAGGAGAGGCCAGTGAGCAGGATGTATTTATAGGGCAGTATTTCTCAGGATCAGGTCGCCTTCAAATTGAGGAACGGTTGAACCGCTACACCCCCACCCACCTGTTGGTGGAGATTTGCACTCTCATCTCGACTTACTGTAACAATGCTGTAACGCCGTCGAGGCTCTGTCCCGCACGAAATGTGCGTACAGTCTCAAAACTGACATGTAACCTTTTGTGTGGTCACACGTTTGCAATTTTTCCACTTTTGTATTTCTTACTTATAGCTGCATCTGTTTTCTTGTTGCACCTCCTGCGTGCATGCCATGTCTAACTTCCTTTTCTTCTTTGAAATCATTTGGGCACCTAGTTTTGCTTTTGTCCTGTTGCTTCACCAGCTTCATCAGCTGTAGCACAACATGAAGCAGAAACATTTTTAGCTGCAGCGTCCTGAACACTGGACACTGATTTAGAAAATGTGGAAAACTTATGACGGTGTCAGTTCGCAGAGTTTTAAAGTTTAATTGGCGCCTGCCTTGCTGTTACTCACATGGATACAACACGTAAGTCCACAACATGACTGTTTGTCATGCAGGCTTTCTTTGTAGCATCTTTTAAGATATATGCATCCAGTATATTACAAAGAGCCGCTCTAGTCTGTATCCTTAAGCAAAGCAGCCATGTGTCAACTCAAAAGTGACTGTAGTTATCCTGAGTCAACATTGACTGATGATAAAGATGTGTACTATCAGGGCGTGACCTGGAATGATAAACTGGGTGTGCACAAAGATACAGCACACACGGGATCCACTGATATTAGCATTTGCAGGCTGCTGGTAACAGTTAGGTCTGCAGGAGCTGGCAGAAATGATCAAAGATTAATATAGTTAATAAGTTAACATTCTGCCCAAAGTGCTGACTTTAATTAATTTAATTATATGCACATTTTACATAAGGAATCAGGAATCTGCTCACATGACATTTATTTGACTGGTATGCATTCGGTTTATACTAAGCACATTTTCCTCTATTTGAATAAATAAACCTTTGATTTTATACCTTTCAGTGGTGTTTTACTCAAAGTTATTGTTTCATATTGACTGAGGGTAAAAACTCTGAGTGTTTTAGAGGAGCAGGGGGTGGTCCAACACAGCCTCCACGTTTTTCTCACTTGACAATTATAACAAGTATTATTGTCAAGGACTTTTTGCAAAGCATTTGATAGATCAATCAACTGATCAATCAACATCATTTTATTACATTTAGAAACAGATAAAAAAGGATAAATAATGACTGTATTTTTTTTTACCACCACCAGGAGTCACCAAAGTTGAATAATTTTCCTCTTTTTCTAAAGAAAACTATTGACTTCCAATCAAATATATAAACTGTTTGTAGATAAATCACCTGACTGATCCTATAGTTACTTTAGTTGGTGAGTTGCTTAAGTTTTGGAGGATTTTGTTAAGTTTTTCTGTTTGTATAATCTTGGAGAAAACAGAAGAATGCGCAGCATCTGACTCTTTAATAAAAGCACAGAACACAACATCATCATCATCATCATCAGCTTCATGCGCACACTGAGAGCACTCATTGACCAGCTGCTGTGATGTTTGGATCTTCACACCCTTCTGACAGCTCGTCCTCTGTGTTGCAGGCTCGGTGGAAGTTTCTCGCAGGAGTCCTGTGGCCTCCTGGCTCTGCGCCATGCTCTACTGCTTTGGTAGTTACATCCTGGCAGACATCATGCTTGGAAGCAGCCCCGTCGACTATTTCCAGCACAACAGCCACATCCTGCTGGCCTCAGCTGTCTGGTGAGAAAACCCCCAGAACCAGTTTGCTCATCACTCGTGTTTTTATTTAACTTTCAAGATGACATTTATGATACAAAGATCTGTCTCTTCCATTAGACATCAAGGATAATGAGTTAAAGTTGCAGCGTGGTCAGGAAACCAAACGCACACAATGGATTTATCCACTTATTTTATTCACAGGGAGGAGATTTATATGTAACAGGAATAAAAAAGTAATGTTTTATGTTTGTTGAGGAATAAACTCACAAAGGTTGTCAATCTCAATTGCAGGTACCTCCTCTTTTACTGCCCGCTGAACCTCTTCTACAAATGTGTGAGTTTCTTGCCCATCAAGCTGGTGTTGGTCGCCCTGAAGGAAGTTGTGCGCACTCGTAAGATCGCCGCAGGGGTTCACCACGCCCACCACGCCTACCACCACGGCTTCTTCATCATGGTGATCGTTG